CACGAGAGCCGTGGGTTCGACATCCGTCAACTCGGCAAGGAAACACTAAAAGAACAGACTATGCAGTATATATACTACATTAAAAACAAAAAAAAGAAGAAGAAGAAAAAAGAAAAGATAGCAATCTGCACCAGAAACCCTGTGAAGACATCGCGTTCAGCAGCGGGCGAGTTGGTCTCGCTGCTGCTGCTCTTTCCAGCGGGGTGTCTGCGTGTAATTCCTTAAGGACGACGGCGTTTCGAAAGCCCGTTCCTTGTTTTTCTCACATGAGCTGTAAATCCCATAGCACTGTCGGTCGATCAGCGTGAAGTCGTTGCTCTACTTCTTTTTCGCTATTCCACCACATCCGGACTCGGTCAGATGGGGCTACGTGAAAACAAAACGAAAATACAATATAGGTGCAATACTTCCTTGCGCTAGCTGCGTTTGGTCAGTCACGAGTCTCACGACACGAGCCCGACGAGTCACGACTTCCCTATATACCTTGATGAACTAATTTGCCGCATCATTCTTCAACCCACCCCCCTCCCCTTCCAAGAAAACTGACACGACGTCGTATAATATACTCAGCAAATCACCTGGCTTCTCGAGGAAAACATTTTCTGGTTGCTTTGCGACGTCAATAATTGGGCATTGACGAAAAATCAGGATCCATCTTACAAAACAGTTCGGAATTCCAATTCTGGGGACATCGCGGATCCTGAGTTTAAATCAAGACTTGAAGAATTATTCCTCCTACAGCAATTGCATCCTCTAATAATCACCTTCAATGAACCATCCACTAATTTATTTCTGGTTCAAAGGGGTTGGTGCTTCGTCAAAAGAGCCAAAAGCATATGTGAAAGTCGGGGAAAATATGACATACAATTCTTATTCTTCGAAAAAAAAATCAAAATTACCCTGAGATACGTAAATTATACTGTATCTAGTTAGTGATTCTACGAAGTTAATTATGTAATCTTTGTCCGTGTGTTTTTTTTTTTTAAGTGGAGACCTCTAACAGAAATTTCTTGAATCACGTTGGCGTGCATTAAAAACAAAATTAATTGACGGAAGCATTTTTGAGCTGTCAATAATTTGGCAGATGACACAAGGTGTTTTAATAAGGTTTCAAATGTTATTAGTGCATCATTAGGGGAGATTTGTTTCTAAAAAAAAATTAGTTGCACATCAGGGTTTGGTTTCACAAATAAAACACCACCAAACAAGTGATTTTCAGTGTAAAATTAAATGAAATATCATCTGAAAAATTTGGCTTATATAGAAAGACGGAAACGTTCAAAGTTCGGGAACTGGAAACCAGCCGAGGATTCCGGTGAATTGAATAGAACATAAATTTAAAAGATGAGGGCTTCCATCCTGGAAATTTTATGACGTTCGTATGATCTGCCATGAACGTATCCCTAACGTGAGTTGAAGCTACTGCTACACCGGCAAGGTTGTGCGGAATGGAAACAACGTTTTAAGAGAGTTTTTCTAATTTTTAAAGCTCTTGAGATGTTCTAGATAATCTAGAACAGTGTTCCCCAACTCGTTGTCTGCAGACTGACACAGGTTTGCATAAGTTTTTTGCCGGTCTGCGGGAAATTTTCAGCAAGATGAATTCATCAAAAGTTGGGATGAAGTTTGTTCTCTTTACCTACAATTTTTGAAGGACAATGTCAGTTGAATTATCTGATTAAAACAAAGGTTGCCTAATAACACTTCAGACACATTTTCACCTGCTGAAATAAATTATTTTAATTTTTCATTCTGAGAAACCTTTTTCCAAGGCCACCTTTCTGATTCTTTGATGACATTTTAAACTGAGTTTTTCTTGTAACTACTTGCCTAATAACATTCAAGCAAAACTTTGGCAAGTCTACGACATTTTATGAAACTTTGCCTGTCTGCAGAAAATATTTTGAGAATTTGCCAGTCCACAAATATTGTTTTTCAAATTTGCTGGTCCGCAGGCCCAAAAAGGTTGGGGAACACTGGTCTAGCAACTAGACATTAAGGCTAATCATTATTTTTTCATTACAGTACAATGAAATATGTTGGCTCATTTCTCCAGGTCTAGTCCACAACAACTTTATTTTCTTTCATGTCTGTTCAGGAAATTGAATATTTTGGAGAAATTGTTTTCTTCAACATGATGCTTCAAATTTCAGCATATTAAAAACTTTCGTATTCCTTTAGTTGGCTGCGAATAAGTCATTAAAATGCGAATATCAAAATCATTTTCATCTAGATTACTTCCGCAATTTATCCGAGAACATTTTGAAAATGATAAGAATATGGCATAATATAGCAAGTGCCTCATAAAACTCCCCATGAAAACCAGTCCCATTTACCGCCTCCCAGCCACATTTCACCAATCTTTGTTGCTCCTGCAAGTTAATATTAGCTTCTAAGCTAATTTTTTCCGAGCAATCATTAAACATTCTAGTTACTACTCGCTGGTAGGATTTATTATTTAAGAAAAAAAAACTAGAAAACTCGCTGGCGTGAGTCAATTCCTCAAGATTTTGCTCATAAAACGAAAGTATAATTATGAGAAAGGAAATGCTGTTAATGCGTGGAAACTTGTGAAGTCCTCGAAAAAGTATTGCAATATTCAAACAAAACAGAAATAAGTTAGCCAGCAAATGTTACTCCAAAGGCAAAACTTGCAATTTCCGACAACCTTTTAAATAAATGCTCATTTGAATTTCCAGACGAGACGAACTGCTGCTTGAAATCGTCGAATATAAAATCGCTTCACATAAACACCGTTCAGGTTTTGGAAAATTGCGTAATCCGGAAGAGAACGGTTTCAAAACTGCAAAAACTGCTTCAATAAGTCGATCCGGCATAATTGATCATCATACTGGTTCCCGAAACGTTCAATTATGATTCAGCGGGTTGGCTGCGATATCAAAGGGAATCATTTCCCAATTTATTTCCTGATGGCAATAGATTGAGGACGTACGTCGTTTTTTGTTGTTGTTGTTCCTTTATAGTCTCGACGAGTCCGTTAAGCGATCAATAAGTGCCATCGTGCAAGAGACTGTGTAATCAAGAGTCTTCTTTTTTTTCTGGATGTAAGTTTGAGGTCAGACGCAATTAGTGGACGAGACCGCGTTATTGCTACATCAAGTTCAAGACGCCCACGTGTCACGCGACTACAGTGTGGCAATCCAAAAGGCAGCTTTCGAAGTTCAAAGTCACGTGGAGGAGTTTTTATGAGACCATTGCCAGCAGTGCTGGGGATGAGGTGGTTTTAATGACCCTCGCTGACACATAGACAGACATCATCCCCCCCCCCTCCCACCACTAATGACGTTGCTTCTCTTTATTACTCCCTCATTTACATAGCTGCATTTTGTTTTTTTTTTGGGTCTTGGGAGCGTTGTGAAATTGGTGGGCGAGCATCATCCCGAGAAGTGAAGCAAGATTGTTTTTTTGCCTCCTGGATTCCTCCCCAACACGGCGGCGGTTGATTGGTAGTCATCAGGCAGCGATGTCGGATTGCTCAATCCCTGATTTCGTGTATCGAACCACCTCGCAACCAGCACTGCATGTCTGTGGTTCCGGGAAAATGGTACCAGGATTTTTTNTGGGCGAGCATCATCCCGAGAAGTGAAGCAAGAGTGTTTTTTTGCCTCCTGGATTCCTCCCCAACACGGCGGCGGTTGATTGGTAGTCATCAGGCAGCGATGTCGGATTGCTCAATCCCTGATTTCGTGTATCGAACCACCTCGCAACCAGCACTGCATGTCTGTGGTTCCGGGAAAATGGTACCAGGATTTTTTACATGGAATTGAAAATTACTCTTACCAGAACGCAACAGCAGACCCGTCAATATAGAGGATGAAATGATGTAATTGATTGATATGGCATTTGCTGGGGCATCATTGGACCTGATGGCGATAGTCCACTGACCCTTAATTTGGCTACAATAGTCAGATCGCCAACTTATTTTGGGCGAATCTGCATGAAATTTTTTTTGAGGACTGGCAAAGTTCCACAGCAGTTTTGCAGACCATCAGAAAAAATTTCAATACCTGCCATAAAAGTCATCCAACTAAAACTTTTATTGCAAAAATTAATAAGTTTAAAACCAATGAAGCAGCTAATATAGCACTGTGTCTTTTAAAAATTAGCTTTCATAATGAATACTGTGCTTGAAAGAATTTACTTCAGTTGGTAAACATTTTTATGAAGTGCTCTTATATAGAAGAGAAGCCAAGTTATATTTTCATCAGACAATTTCAAGTGCCTTAATCTTTCCAAAATTCCAGGTAAATATTAATAGACTTCATTACTACCGTTGATCCATTTTTTATTATGCTGAAGAACATTTTGTGTGGACTTTCAAAATACTTCTGCATACCAGCACCTGTCCATGGACCCATGGGTTGCAGACCACTGTTCAAAATGATACAGATTTTCAAATTTATACCTTGATGCATCACAATTGACCCATCAAGTCAACTTGAAAAACTTCTGAAACCTGAATCATCAGCTTGGCTGAAGTACTGGCATCTATTTGCCGAGAAAATATAAATTTCCCGCGTATGCTTGGGTTAATGTTGGGCTTGAACAGTGGGTTCGCGTGTTTGTTGGGCTGCTATGGCTTCTCAACTCTTGTTTTTTCTTTTGGTTTTACCTTTTGCAAGGTAAGCCATGCAATTTTTATCATGTTAGCGCAAATGTACCTCGCATCATCAGGTACCACTTTACAGGGTCTTCTCTCTGGCTTTATGTCTACTGTATATCTCTAGATACCATAAATATATGCTCTTAACTGAAATTTCAAGGAATATTGATGTCTGTTCAATGCTCACAGTACATTATCTTGCGGTTGAAGAACCCGGCCCACCTTAGATTCTGGTTCGAAAAGAGGCCAAAAGTCTGTCTTAACCGAGTTAGCTTTGTTCCCGTGAGACGCGCCTCTATTCCTGTGCCAAAATTTTGTTTCCCTCGATTTAAAAATTGACCAGAATCGTCTGGAGGATGATAATGTGAGGAAAGCGATGAACTCTAGCCAAAATGTTTGTGTTGGGTCTCTGGAAACAGCCGCAGGGCAGGATCGTGAGATAAACGCGTGCAAAACCAATAGCGGATTCGCGCCGCACCCAGAGTACTGCGACGAGTACTACGAGTGCGTGGGTGGCGTCGAGGCCCTGCGGGTGTGTTGGAAACAGCCGCAGGGCAGGATCGTGAGATAAACGCGTGCAAAACCAATAGCGGATTCGCGCCGCACCCAGAGTACTGCGACGAGTACTACGAGTGCGTGGGTGGCGTCGAGGCCCTGCGGGTGTGTCCCAACGGACTCGTGTTCGTCGGCAAGGGGCACGGGTTGCTGGACAACTGCCACTACCCGTTCGTCGGCGATTGCAAAGGCCGACCCAAGCGTCGTGAGTGCCACACACAAATCCCTCGCTGATTTTGTGGCAGGCGAGAGCAAAAAAATAAAAAATTAAAAAATTTTAAACAGAGATTTCATATCTCAAACCTGCGGATGGCACTGCGATGTTTTATTTTGAAAAGCGAGGAAGTGTCTGAAATGTTCCCTTGTATGTATTTAGTCAGAGAGGTGCTCGAAAAGTCACTGTGCACTCGAATTGATGGAGTGTTTTCATACGTTTTCCGCCTTAACGAAAGATGCTTGCAGCTTGCCTAGATGTCACTGGAAGCTCCGATGACTTTTTAATTTCAAACTTGAAAAAAAGTACCAGTATTCGGCATTACGGCCGCAGCGCGCAATTTAGGCTGCATATTTCAAGTAAAATTACGAGCAAGACAATCAATACATAACTTTAAAAACTTCATGTCGTGTTATTAACCATTTCTGATACACAGACCCCCGTGTTTAACCCATAATTTGAATCCTTTATTGGCTGCATATTTCAAGTAAAATTACGAGCAAGACAATCAATACATAACTTTAAAAACTTCATGTCGTGTTATTAACCATTTCTGATACACAGACCCCCGTGTTTAACCCATAATTTGAATCCTTTATGAAAAAAAAAATCCTTCCTTTTCCTGCTGCAAAGTAACTTTTTGGGCACCTCAAGCAAGTGTTTCTTGGTCAGTTTCCAGCGCTGAATAATGGAGTTTTAAAGAAAATGGGGGAACATATGTGAACTTCGTAACCCAGACGATTGAGGTCCGCATAATCTGACGGATTCGACTCTCACGACCAACCGATTGCCACGTGACGAATGTTTATAATATGACTCTATCAATATTCATTGTGTATACTTGGTTGTAGGTGATGATGCCTTTGTTGATTATGTATGCATTTGACTGGGAGAACTAAAACATTCAGTGCAGTGCGCACATTTTAATTTTAGGCATGGGTACTTGACTTGTTTGAGAACTCACCAGTTAGGACGACCACTCAGAGGTTCATCGAACATATTCGAAACTAATTGGACGGTTTTGGCGAAGAAAAGGTGCGAGATTTTCGCTGGATTTAGGTTTACTGTATTCCTGTGATGCAACAGTGTCTCCACGATGATGAGTAACGGGAAAAAAACTAACCCATCGAGTGGCGCAATGATCATTTGTCGATTAGTCGTCAATGAGTTGATGGATGAGCCGTGTGAAGCAAGGCCGAGATTGACAAATCACTTATTTTTGATTATTTTTGACCAATATTGCACCAATGTACAAGGCTTGATTGTTGAATTTGTCCACTGTATACTCGGGGGGTTTCTCGAAAGTCCTGCAAGTCACCAAGAAATTGTCTTTGTACGTAGATAAAATTTGATAACCAATAAATGCGTCAGCATTTATTTCTTGTTAATTTTAAAAAGAGTTTATCGTTTGAAAGCAGCTGAGATGAGATATTCATGCATTTAATGTTGACGAACGTTAAATTGTGACCCCAGGAAAGCATCTGCTGATGGAAGAACTCGAGGAAACGGTTACTTTATTGAATCTTTTTTGCAACAATTCGCAAATTTTCTAAACTTCTCACAATATACTTTGCTAAAAGTGCTACGCAGTTTCTCAATAGCTGCTTCGTCGACAGCTTAACCTCCACGAACAACGTTTTCATGAATATTTTCGACATGAATTCCCATATNTGATCCCGTCAAGATCCCCCGACCCAAGTCGAGCATTGCGACTGGTTGTACGGCATCTTCGGACACGAGACGTCCTGCACCAGGTACTGGACCTGCTGGAACGGAACAGCAACCGAGCAGTTCTGCATCGGAGGCCTGTTGTACAACGAGCAAACCCGGTCCTGCGACTGGCCCGAGAACGTCGAGGGTTGCCAGAAGCATCGTGAGTATATTAAAACCGTGTGCCCACTACACTGGCTAAGAATCTCCGTTTCCTCCCCATTTGATGCAGCATTTTAAATTTTCAACGATCTTCGTCATCCAACGCTATCTGCATAATGTGTATACGAGATGGGAACTTCTAACGAAAGTTCAAGGGAAATCGAAATTGGAACGGCATTTATGCGATTGAGTTGAGAAAAAGTCCCTGTTGTTCAGGGAAAAGGCTTTGTTTGTCACCAGATGAAAGAAAAAAAACTCAGCCGTGTTTGACATACTTTTTTGACAACATTTTCGGAAAAGTCACTCTTTAGTAAAAAGGTGAAGCGCCAAACCGTCGGAATTATAGTCACTTTTAATTCCAATACTACAGCGCATGAAATAAATATAGCTTTCAATGTAGCATAAGTTTCAAAGAAACCACACGAGACTGGTTGCAAACAAAGAAAATGAATCATTTTATGTAGTTTCTTAGATGTGAAACGAAAATTACAAATATACACGTAGCTGAAGATCAACCTCATCAGCTTCTGCGCGTAGCTCGAAATGTTTCCAGAGTTCAAAGATGCCATGAAAAAAAAAAAAAAACCGGGCCGAATATTCTCAGATCTGGGCTAAATGCCCCCGAACCATTACCTTCTACGAAGAAATTATTGGCAGTAAAATTACGCTTATTATTCAAATAGCCAAGCAATGATTAAAGGTAAAGGGCTCACGGAAATACTTCCAGTTTGTATGAATAATCACCGTTGCACAACGCAGCAAATTTGTCCGAATGTTGCAAGGGATTTTGAAGTTAGAGCACTGCCTTTTTCGTGAATTATTTCCCGTAAAAAAAAAAAGTTCACGAGCGACACACGTAGAACGGAAAGAAAAATAAATTAAAAGATTTAAAAATTGGAAAAAAAGCTTCGAATATACGTACGCGGTACCGTGGTACATTTATCCTTTGGATTTGCATTTCGAACTCTGTGTTTCGAAGTTAATTTATACTGTGTTGGAAGCATGCCTTTTTGGGATCATTGAAGCAGATAAACTAAATGGAAAATGACGGCGTTTCCTGATGAGACTTGAGTGCAGGCTTTAAAAACTTAAAAAGTAAAACAAACATTTCTTGAAGAATTATTTTCCGTAAAAAAAAAAAAAAAGACGCAAGAGAGACACGCAAGAACGAAAGAAAAAAAAAGTAATCATTTGGATATTTGGCGAGGCTTCTAACACATGCAAACCGTGGAGTATTTAAATTTCCTGGATGACCTTGCTTTCACGTGAGATTTGCGTCCAAAATGGTTCCCCCCACTCGCGGAAGTCGCTCGGGAATTTTAATGTGAAAAGCAGGAATCGAAAGCGAGGCTTTATTCAGATGAAGACGGTTCGCGACTCATTTCGAATCCCCACAGCCCTGTGCAAGGAGCACCCGAATGGAAATGTCGCCCTGGGCAAGTCCTGCAACCGTTATTGGCACTGCCAGGGGGGATACCCGCGCCTCCAGCGATGCCCCGCCATGTTGGTGTTTGACAAAAACTCGCTCCGCTGCGTCGTTCCGCCTACTGAAGACTGCGAAGTGCCTCCACCATCGACTACCGAAGCTTCTCAAGGAGGTACAGTACTGTACTGTACTTTAAAAGGATCTTACACCAGTGGTCCCCAATCTTTTTGGGCCTGCGGACCAGCAAATAAAAAAAAAATTTTCTGGGCTGGCAAATTCTCAAAAAATTGTCTGCAGACTGGCAAAGTTTCATAACATTTTTGTAGACTAGTTGAAGTGTGGCTTGAATGCTATAAGGCAGGTAGTTACACGACAAATTCAGTTAAAAACGTCATCAAACAATTAGAAAGGTAGGCTTGGAAAAAGGTTTCTCAGAATGAAAAATTAAAATCATTTATTTCAGCAGGTGAACATGTATTCTGAAGTGTTATTAGGAGAAGCACTTAATTTGCCGCAGAGTTTGCGGACAAATTTTTTTTTATTTTATTTTGCAAATTCCAAAAAAAAAAATATATATATATTCTGCGGACCGGCAAAGTTTCATACATTTTTTGCAGACTGGCCAAAGTTTTGCTTAAATGTTATTAGGCAGGTATACATACAAGGAAAATTCAGTTCAGAATGTCATCAAACATTTACAGAGGTGGGCTTGGATGAGAAAGGTTTCTCAGAATGAAAAATTAAAATAATGTACAGCATTTCAGTAGGTGAAAAGAAGGTTGCGAAGTGTTATTAAGAGATAAGCCTACTTTTGTTTTCATCAGATAATTTCAACTGCCATTGAACTTCCAAAATTTTAGGTTAAAATAACAGATTTCATCCCGACTTTTGATGAGTTTATCATGCTGAAAATTTCTCAACTCCTGCGGACCGGCGCCGGTCCGCGGACCACGGGTTGGGGAACCCTGATTCTAAACTACACTACCCTACAGAATAACTCAGATTATCCGAACTGGAATTACAAATCACGCCAAATGACTAATTACACAGTCCAACCTCTTCAAGTCGAAATTTAAACGATGAACAGCAAACAAATTTTAGTTCGGGTGGTTTAAAGTTTGGGAAGCAGGTTGCGGGAACGAGAGAAGAGAAAACAGGAAGATTGCAACATCTGGCGATATTCTGACAATTTTATTCTCTATTCATTCAAATGCCTGATACATGCTGGTTAAATGGCTCCTTTTGATCTCGAGTATACAGTAGGTGGTGGATGTCGCCTGAATCCTGTTATTCGTGTCTAGCTAGGCTATTTCGTGAGATTGGATATTGAACAAAGCTTGGCTTAACGAAGGGATTCAACCGACATCGATGATACTGCGGACGTTTTTATAGCTGCATGCAGACCAAGATGAGTGGTTCGCTGAATGCCCTCGGGCCTGAACCTGCTCTGGAATGTTGCGACTTAGCCTTTTTTAAGCGTTGAATTGTATGCAAAAAATTCTTACGACGCTAGTATACAGTCCACTTCTGTAATTCAAAGAATTATTATTATAACATTACTTTTAGAGGATTGATGATTTAATATTACCCTCTGACGATTGCAGAGGACAATGGGGATGGCGATAACGAAGGCAACAACAACGGCGTTCAACAGCAGCAGCCGAAACAACGGCCCGTGCAATCACAGCAACAGAATAAGCAACAACGACCTCAACAGATCCCCGCAGGTGCGTCATCTACCCGTTAATGACTGAACGATCGACCCGCGTGATTTTCAGGACCGCAGCTGTCGAAGTTAAAAAAAATATTTCTTTCATTTATCACTGGACTATAATGGGTGGAAAATTCGCCTTTTCTCCGTAGGTTTGAAAATAAGTTCTCTAAAAAATTTTTTATGCTCGATCTGATCAGCTGAAACATTTTGTACGAGCGAAAACACATTTGATTGGACAGCTTGTCTATGTTTTTAGAAGAAATTTCGAGGCTCGATGCTCATATAACGACATTCATGTGCTTCTCTTTGCGAATGTATGGTGCTGAACACAATTTTCACTGAGTGTAACGTATCATAACAACTTGGCAATGTTCTAATTTTTGCTCACACACGTTGAAAATAGAGAGGAAAACCTTCAAAAATGTCCCGCTGTACGATGAAAAAGTAAGGCTCACAACTGCAGAATGTGCACGTCGATGAATTTGCCAACATGCCAATATACTGCATCCAAATATAAAAAAATGCTGTAATCTGAAAATATAATTTCAACGATTACCTCGATTTGACAATCTCCATATTCCAGTGAGGAAAATGTCCCGGCTTTAGTAATTTTTGTGTTAGAGATGCTGGAAGTGAAGTTTTCTGTGAAATATCCATTTGGTGAGTTCGACGTTGCTCAAGTTAGGGCTGTAAATTACAATAAAATTTGATGCAAATTAAAAAAAAGAGCTTTATAACCCTTCAAGTATCGTGAATATTCTCGCATCAGCTTCAATGAAGAATTTGAGTCAGGAACTTGGATTGCCAGAATAATTTCCGTTTCAAATGAGCAGTGACAACCAACAATTTAAAAACACCCATCTTAGACAATGGAATCTTATTGTTACCACTACTGTAACCTCATTATGAGGAATGATTGCTTAGTTATAATGCAACGAAGTTGTTTTTTTAGGTATCTGCCCAATAGCCATAATGTTACACGAGTCAGTTTATGACCAATTTTTGGCACAAGACTATACGAAGCTATTTTATTGGTTCCGCACGGGCTTCGTTGAAAAGCGATTTTACATGATTACGGTGGGCTCACACGCATAACGTTGACTGAATTCGGACTATTTTATTTTAAATTAGTTTTTCGACGTGGTTTTTATCTTATTTTTTCGTTCATCTGGTAATTTTTCCAGTAAGTGGAGCGATCCCGGTCGGTGCCCAAAGGTTCACGCCTCAGCAACTGCCGCAATTTGCGGGTCTGCCTCAGCTCCCTGGGGGCGCTATTCCGTTGAACCTGCAACAAAATAATCAGCAGCAGCAACAACAACAACAACAGAGAAATCGCTTCCAAAATTAAATAAATCCGGGATTCCCGAAAGGACGCCACGAACAAACTCGGCATCATCAGGGAGACCGAATCGCCAGTGATTCCCAGCACCTCGATTTACTGTATAAGAGCGTTAGCAGCAGCAACAACAACAAAACATTTTGATCGTCCCCAGTTTTATTTAGAGGTCACTTTGTACATGCAGTTCAATGTTATCCTTGGAATGATTTCAAAATGGGGACGAACATCGAGCCTCCGTTGCTTCGTTTTTACTCGATTTTTTTTTTATTATCACTTGGAAAGAACAACACCATCACCTTCAATGGCGAGGAGGAGGAATCTATTGTCTCGAACCGGATCAACGTTCCGGAGAAATCTTCATTTGTTCTGTTTTTGAAAGAGCCCTGTTTTGATCGATATTCGTTTTGGTGGAAATAAAATGAGTGCTTTTTTATCCGGTGTTTGAATTTAATCACCTCTCTGATGGCTAGCTGTATATAAGAACGTCGAAGACCACGTTGGAGCAATAAATTTGAGATAAATTATGGAATGGCTCATGTTATATACACGGTAGAATCTCGATCGTCACAACGAATGTTGTTATATAAAGTAATCGCTTCGAACAAATTTGTTTTTTAGTTTTTTAGGATGTTTTGTTATAACGAAGCCATTTTACTGGTTAATTCCAATGCTTCGTTGTATAACGATATTTATTCGTACTTTTTTACTGTATGAATGATGGAATGAAACTCAAAGCCACTCGAAATTAGCTCGTGGCCTTATGGAAGCTAAATTCTCTACAAGGAATGTAATACCGAAGATTCCTAAGAGATTTTATAATTTTATTAAACTGTAATCTTCATATACGTCCAGTAATACATTTTTGCAGGAAAGGATATTCATTTACATCGTCATGCGTCATTTTGATGCCAGAATCTCATAAAAGGGACCATCAGAACAGATTGAAAGTATACGAAGGACAAATCTTAAAACTATAATGTATAGTGAGATACTTTTATGGAAGAAATGTACCAGCATATCAGAATGCTGGGTTTCTACCTGGAGAAAATTGGTTCTAAAAACCGAACAACTGTTTTTTATTTATTTAGCAGCGATATTTTTATCAAACAAGAATTTCCCTTTGTAACACTTTTCATTTTTTGCCTTTCTTGCCATTACGTGAGATGTGACTTTAAAAAGACATTTTAGTACTGTATTTGGTTTAGTGACTTCAGGAAATAAATTTCCAATTTATTTTAGAATCTCACAAAATACCCTTTTCTTCAAAATAAAAAGTAAAATAAACTATTTCCCAAGAATCTGCAACTGTTGAAAAATCAAAATTAGCACTGGATTTATTGGTTGGATCATTCAAACCGTGAATTCAACATTTCTTTGCTATATGTTCCCTTCTAATGATCATATCCGCAAGTTTTTGCCGCTTGAAGCGACTGCAACAACATTCTTTCTCTTTTAAATGGTTTTCTAAAATGATAATAATAAGATAATAAGGCTGGGGCAGGATATAAATATTAAAATAGTTGAAAGATTTCCACAGAATTTCTATCTAAAATATTTTCAAATTGATTTAGCCACATAACAGACAAGTACTCAACAGTTAACGCACGCAAGTTCAAGATTCAAAAAATTTAGTAGATTAATCTACTTAATCTACTATAATTATTTTATTCTTTTTTAAAAATATTCTTATAATTTTTCTTTTCACAAAAGATTGCATTGTCATCAGTTTCTAAGCTATCCTGAAAGTTTCAGCTTGCTAGCTAGTCCGGAAGTGAGCAAAATTTGAGTTGCAAAATTTGATCCAGACAAACAAACGGACAAGAAAGCAAGTTAATAAAAACGTGTTAAAATGAGAATGAAGCACATGGAGTCATCGCGATAGTATTTCAACTTGAATACAACCAACTTCAGTTTTCAATGTTTCACAAATTTTAACCTAGACATTCTTTTGGTTCACCCCGTGAAAATGAGAGCCTGAAACGGGAGACGTCCTTACACAGGCTGCAAACAGTCTAGAATACTGCATCGGTATAAAAATTATTAAGTACATGTCTTTTGCTTTTAGTTGTTGATGGCTTTACTTTGTGAATTTCGCATTTATTTCCAGAAGACTGTTGAATGAAGAACTTCGTAGATATTTGCTGGCGGACAGCATGTACCGTATTCCCACGGAAGCATAGCAATTGAGAATACCTACCGAGACCAAAGCTATCCTACTCATAGGCTATCCACGCACGTTCCCCTGCATCATATGACACATTAGAATTGAAGAACACAAAATTGGGACATTCTCTCATTCCGCGCAACGCCAACCTTAAAAAATCTCCGATCTACAGGAGGTTTTGCAACTAAAGATCAGTGGAACTTAAATGTGGGAGCTGCCATGACATTTTTTGGGTTCTTATGCATTTGCACTTGGCGCGCCTTCTCCAGGTGTTGCCTTTGCTGTGTTGCGGTCATTAACTCTAATTACTCTAATTAAACTGCTCATAGTGTGCCACAAAGCACAAAAGATTGCATTGTCATCAGTTTCTAGGCTATCCTGAAAGTTTCAGCTTGATAGCTAGTCGGGAAGTGAGTGAAATTTGAGTTTCAAAATTTGATCCGGACAAACAAACAGACAAGAAAGTGAGTTCATAAAAACGTGGTAAAATTAAACGAAAGCTACTCTAATCAATCCAAAAAATTTCGGATTTGTTTCAGAATGACATTAAAATTACCTCAGGCGTGAATGATACATTCTTGAAGCTTTCTTATTGGCTAAGAAGTGGAAATCAAAGATATTGTGGTACGTGGTCAGCATGGCGACAGAGATTGACACTTTGATCTGATATTGAAATTAGCACACACTTCCCAACAGAAATGAAATGCACAATATTCTGGACTTTCCGCCATGCCATTATACTTCTGATGTCAGAAACATCGTCTTGTGTCTCATCCCGTCATTATAATTACTCGTTTCACACAAAGTGACATGATTAAAGGTTCACTTTTTGAGATTGCAATGCAATTGGAAACATCCTTGTCCCATTTTTCGGCTATCGTTTTATTTTTGACAGAATTATTTCGAAGTTCCAGCAAGACTTCGCTTTTTAAAATAAATAAATACTGTAAATTCTTGTAGAGTTTCTATACTTCATTGCGCTAAGGAGTAACTGCAGGAGGCATTTGCCCAATAATGTCTACTGCAAAAAGAAAAGAGCACGATACTGCACTGAAATACAGTCTCTGTCTTGTGCTAAAAATTAACTTCAAAGGTTTCCTTTGCCATGTACAGTACGTATACGCATAGTATGCCTTTCGTTTTTGGGCTGACTTAGTTTATCATATTACAGTATTGTGCAGACATGGCTGAACATGTTTCTAATACTGTACCTTGTAAGAGTTCACAAACATTTCACAACAATTAGCACAACGGTAAAATGAAAAAATGAAATCGTTTT